TTCTCATGTATTTCTCTATTTCTCGGAGTAGTGTGTTTCTTGGCCTTCCTCTTTTCCTTTTACCGTAAGGGTTCCAAGTGAGGGCTTGTCTTGTCAGGCAGTTCGGTGATTTCCGTAGTGTTTGTCCTATCCACTTCCACCGCTTCTTCCTGATTTCCTCCTCCATTGGAATCTGGTTTGTTCTCTCTCAAAGTAAGTTGTTGCTAATCGTGTCTGGTCAACGAATCCACAGTCCACTTCATGGATTTTGTGCCATGTTTTGGCTTGGCCGCCGCCTAACTTTCTTCCAACCTATTTATTCCTTACATCACAAAATATCACTCATCGAGGCAGTCGATGGTTAGCGGTATACACACAACACATGTCCCCAACCACCTCCCACTGATGCAGTTTCACTACTACATCTACAAATGATGTCAGTCAGTCAGTCTGTCAGTTGCAACGTATAACTTCGTACGTATGTACATAAGCACATCAGTTCATGTTGCCATACCACCAAATTAGCACACAGACGCAAATGTCAAATCAAATCCCATAGTGATAAAGATAGTAGAGGTATTATTGGTAATGAAGGAGATATTATTCAAGAAGTATAATTCAGTGAAATAAGGTTAGAAAGACAAAAGTAGGGGTGCTGACGATTCCAGAAGATTAGGATTTGAGAGAACACAAAGAATGGATGCACTTGCGCCATTGCAAACGATGTTGAGCCATGTCGTTCAAGGTCTCTAACCATCGACTGCTATCATCTCGTGGACCCCAACCACATAGCTTACATTTACCAACATCACTCAGTCCACTACTTATCAATGACTTCATGGATTTCTGCCATGTTTTACTCTGGCCTCTACAAATGATGAATATGAGATTTAATCAAAAGTAATAAAACATTAAAACTTAACTAAAACACATGAATAATAATCGAAAGAAAAGGGGAAGAAAAAACACACACACAGAGAGACAGATTATTAGATGAATATGTTTCTTTCTGACAGGACAATTTATGAATTCGTCGTCATATCATTTCATTATGTTAACTTTGTCCTCAAAAAACAAACAAATCCCAATGTAAAATGAAAAAAAAATAAATATTCTCAATAAACCGAAAAAACGCAAAAAAAAATAACGGGTTTTCCCTAGTTTTTTGTTTTAAATGAAAAATTAGGTCATTTCAATGATGAGTGAGTAAACAGATAACTATTCTATTTGAAATAAAAAGAAACTATAAAGAGGTTAACACATGAATCGTGCTTATTTGATCAATGAAATGAAAAAGGATAATACACGAATAAAGAAGTTTTGGAAAGTTGGAATGAATGGATGTAATAATTGCAATGTCATGGACTATGAATTTTAATGTCTGATGAGTCCTCCTATACCAGGACGAAACGGCCGTTGGATGCCGGCCCAGTGGTCTAACGGTCAGAGCGTTCACGCACAATACCGAAGGTCTTGGGTTTTAATCCTGCAAGGTGCAGGAGTCGTGGATGCGCACTGCTGACGAGTCCTATACCAGGACGAAACGTCCGTCTTTCAATGCTTCCAGATTTATAATACGGGTGGTCTAACAACAATGATTGATTGATGATTTTAAATGTGTGTAAAAAAAACACAAACCTCCAAAAACCTCTGCTTGAATATATCGTAACATGTGCTTACTAGTGACACTAGATCTTCGTGAGGAAATTCTCCGAGTTCTAGGGTGAGAAGACGTGACCAATGGAGTTCAGCAACCCTGTCGGGTGTAGGCAATAACTACCAAAGGCTAATGGGTGAGGTCGCACAAAATCCATAGATCAATCAGAGTTAGGCATTAACACCGTTGAATGACGACCCGGTGGTCGAGAGGTCAGGCGTTCGTGCACAACACCGAAGGTCCTGGGTTCGAATCCTGCGAGGTGCAGTAGTCGTGGATACGCATTACCGCTGATGAATCCAATACCAGGACAAAACGGCCATCTTTCAGTGCTTCCAGGTTTCTAATGCGGGTGGTCTTACAACAATGATTGATTGATGATTTCAAATGTGTAAAATTTTAATGTCGTTTTTAGAATAATCCTTTTCAGCTCTTAATAAAGAGGATTTATGTATAATGAATTATAGTGAAGATTTATTGTGATCAGACAGTGGTAGCAAGAGAACAAACTAGATTCCGACTGGGGAAGAAGTGTTAGAGAAGGTGGATAGGATATAAATTGAAGAAATCATGTAACAGCGTCAGGACTGTTCACTCTTTCCATTCTTGTTTAACTTTGTCGTAGACATCCTCTTAGAGTTAACATTAAGCTCGTCAGATTTTTTAGAGGTGGATCTTCTACCGAAAGACATGCTTGTTGACCTACAATATGCCGATGACATAGTTCTATTCGGTGAAGATGGTGACAAAATGACGATTCTTCTATCCACCTCAAGCAACAATGTAAGCTTGCTCGGGATGAGATTCACCCCGTCGAAATGCAAAATGTTGCTTCAAAATTGGGTTGCGTCGGCACCTGAACTAGTGATAGAGGGAGTGAAGTAGTCGAATGTGTAGACCGCTTCACTTATCTGGGGAGTCTCATCAATGCTCATGGGCTGGTTTTGTGAAGAAATCTCAGTACCGATACAGAAGGCTCGCATGGCTTTTGCTAAGTTGCGTCACTTATGGCGAAGGCGAGATATACGTTTGCTAACCAAAGGACGAGTGTACTGTCCAGTAGTTCGCTCCGTCCTACTATATGGCTGTGAAACATGGTCAGTCTGAGTAGAAGATGTTCGTAGGTTGCTAGTATTCGATCACAGATGTCTTCGAAGCACTGCACGTGTATCCTAGGACAACCGAGTAAACAATACTGTCGTCAGGAAAGGAGTACTATATAGGGATAGCGAACCAACAGATGAAGTAATGAAACTTCATCAGGTGATGTAGTTAGGACATGTGCTACAAATATCCAACCACTGACTACCTCGACGAGCCTTGTTTTGTGGTGTAGGAGTAGGTTGGAAGAAAGCTAGAGTTGGCCGAAACAAAACATGGCAGAAATGCATGAAGTCATTGACAAGTAGTGGACTGAGTCATGTCGGTAGGTGTCGACTACCTGGTTGGGGTCCGCGAGATGTTAGTAATCGATGGTTAGAGACCCTGAATGACATGACTGAAAATCGTTTGCAATAGCGCGCAGGTGCATTCATTCTTTGTGTTCTCTAAAATTATAATCCTCTGAATCCCTCATCATCTATATCTTATTCTTTTTAAGTTTACTTCTTTTCGGTTATGGAAACAGAAATGTTAATGGCATATAGATTGGATGAAAAAGCATGATTGTGTTGTCGCCCGTTGATTGGCTCTTTCGTGTCCAACTGAGGGAACATTCTAGAATCTTCGCATGTAACAAAAACTCTAAATATACTACTAACATCTTTTTCATTTGAACTTCTCTATCTTCCATTCTCTAACCTTGTTATTGGAATATAATCTCTATTTCCTGTTCAACTGTGTGCTAATTTGGAGGGAGCAGAGTTTCAAGTGAATTGATGTTTGAGAATACTAAACATTAGTAAAATAGCTGAGTTGTAATGTAATGGAGACAAGAAAACAGAAAAATAGGAAGAAACAGTACTTACTTATCAATAAGAAATTTTCTCAATTGTTCCATAATCTCTGCAGCTTGACGATGATAATCAGCTTGAGCTGTAGCAAACTCTAACAATGATTGCATATGATCAGTCTGAAAGACACGAGAAACAAATAACAACACAAGAGAATGATAACACTGTAATGGAGTGATTTTTTTTAAAAAAAAATCTAGGTTTCGACGTAGAACGTGGTATGTGGTGAGTACATTATATAGTGTTCAAGTTCTCACAGCACCAAATTAGCACAGAGAGAAAGATATAATTGTTAGTTCGATATCTATAGGCAGTAAGTAGTAAAGGTAATTGATAAGATTAGGGATTGACGATCAGTCAGTCAGTTGCAACGTAGAACTACGTACCGTATGTACATAAGTTCATGTTGCCATACCACCAAATTAGCACACAGACGCAAATGTCAAATCAAATCCAATAATGATAAAGATAGTAGAGGTATTAATAGTAATGAAGAAGACTAAGGTTTGAAGATATTATTCAAGAAGTATAATTAAGTGAAATAAGGTTAGAAAGACAAAGGTGTAGAGGTGCTGACGATTCCAGCAGATTAGGATTTGAGAGAGCTCAGAGAATGGATGCACTTGCGGCATTGCATTGAGCCATGTCGTTGTTCAAGGTCTGTAACCATTGGTGACTTTCGTCTCGCGGACCCCAATCAGGTAGTCTATATCTACCAATATGACTCAGTCCACTTGCCAATGACTTCATGGATTTCTGCCATGTTTTGGTCTGGCCGCGCCTAAATTTCTTCCAACTTACTCCTACACCACAAAACATAGCTCGTCGAGGCAGTCGGTGGTTAGCCATTCATAACACATTTTCCAACCACCTCAACTGATGATGTGTCATTACTTCATCTGTTGATCTGCCATCCTTACCTAGTACTCGTTTCCTAACCATAGCATTGCTTACTCGGTTGTCCCACGGTATATGAGTAATGCTTCTAAGACATCTATGATCGAATACTAGTAACCTAAGAACATCTTCTACTCTTAACGGCCATGTTTCACAGCCATATAAGAGAACGGAACGAACTGCTGCGCAGTACACCCGTCCTTTGGTAAGCGAACGGATATCTCACCTACTCCATAAGTGACGCATGTTGGCAAACGCCAATCGAGCTTTCTGTATCCGCGCTGAGATTTCGTCAGTCACCAGGCCATCAGCACTGATGAGGGATTGACGATATGATTCAAGAAGTTTATTTCAGCGAAATAAACTTAAAAAATAGAAAGATAAAGGTGATGAGCAATTCAAGTGATTAGAATTTAGGCGAACACAAAGAATGGAGGCATCTGCGCCATTGAAAACGATTTTGGAGTTATGTCATTCAAGATCGCTAACCATCGGTTACCATTGTCTCACGGAACATGACTTGATCCACTACTTGTCAGTGACTTCATGGCTTCCAGCCATATTTTGGTTCATAGAGATAGTCACTGGCTGGTTATGCAAAACACATGTCTCAACTAACTCAACTGATAAAGTTTCATTATTTCATCTATTGATCTGTCATCCTTACTTAGTACTCGTTTCCTAACAACAGAATTGCTTACTGGATGATCCAAGGAGATACAAGCAATACTTCTAGTTAGTCAATGATAATCAACATTGAAACTGGGAACTTAATATATAGACAGCATTTTAAGCCTTCATATCCCATTGGAAAGAGAGAAAGATGGTGAAGATTCATGATAAAGTAGTGATAGTAGTAGCAATGTATACTCGTATCAAATGATAGTTGGGAAAAAAATTAAACATTAGCCGATAGTAGAAAAAATTTCTAGCTCAGTTGAATGATTATGATTTCAGAAGAAACAATTATTTCGACCGTAGCTGCTAACTTGACTGTGACGGTCGGGAGGGCTTGCGTATCATGATGACCCAGCTGAGCTATATTTGCTGGAACATATGTTTCTGTAGGTTCTACCATTCCAGGTATGTCGATTGGAGAACAGTGAGACCAAAAGCAGCGACTCAAGGTCTGAGGGCGAAGTCGTACTGCTGACTATGATGGAGGGATGCGCCAGCAGTAAGGTGTTTCCCTCGGACAACCAGCATCTGCAGCGATGCTGCCTTCTCACAAGGAAGCAAGGAAGTGTTAGAAAAGGTCAACCCTAAAAATGTCACACCTCTCCTAACTCACGGATTTCCGTCTCCGTCGGTAAGGGTGCCCACTAAGGACTTTAAAACGAGCGGAGCTAACACTCAATGACCTCTCATAAAAAGGGCGTGCGTGACCGGCCTGAAGCAGTTGTCCCTTGGGCTCTGCGGTCACGCACCCATGTCTCCAAGACCAACACTAATCTATCTTCGTTTTCAGGTCCCTCAAGAAACAACCTTCCACGGTGTGGGCATCCGGGAAGTGACAACCGCCCACATACCCGTACCAGTACACGAGACCAAACTGTTCGAAATCCAATCCTTCCTACACCACCTAGTACCTCTAAATTATTTCATCCGATATTTCATCCGATGAAAGGTAGAAATTAATCTTTTTTTAAATTAAGAAACTAACAGAGGATCACTTCTGTGAACAAGCGTCAGTGTCTTATCCCACAAAGACTCTAACTAACTATTTATCGGTCAGGTTAACACACACACATTGAACACATTCAAATAGTTTACATCTCACACAACAGTTCATCATTTCATGGACTATGAAGCTTGACCAGACGCTGACACCACTTTTTTCAACATATTTCTTACACATTAACTAATATTCTAGATTAAGATAGGTAATTATTGAGCGCAAATCTACTTGATACAACAACACATACAATGAAAGATATGAACAGTGGATGCAAAAAAAAAACAGTACACTAATGACCGGAAACAATTATCAATGAAATAATAATCAAAGATAATTTATCATTTAATTAACATTACGGAGTTGTTGTGAAGATTGTTGTTAAGTTACACATTTTATGAAACCATGAATCGATCAATGTTAGACGACCAACATTAGAAACCTGGAAGCACTGAATCAGGGCTGTTTCGTCCTGGTATGGGACTCATCAGAAGTGCGCATCCACGACTCCTGCACTCCACAGGATTCGAAACCGGGACTTCGGGTATCGTGCGCGAACGCCTAACCACTGGACTACTGAGCCGGTGTCTAACGGTGTTAATGTCTAACTTGATCACTTCACGGAGTTGCGCAACCTCATACACAATCTTCGGTAGTAGTTACTGTCTGCACCCGAACAGGTTGATGAACTTCACTGGTCACGTGTCTTCCCACTAGAACTCGGAGAAGATTCCTCACGAAGAAGCTAGTAGTGACTAGTGAGCACAGGTAATTTGCATTACGGGGTTGTGAAGATTGTTAAGTTACACATTTTTTGAAACCATACCAGGACGAAACGGCCGTCCAGTGCTTCCAGGTTTCTAATGGTGGTCTAACAACATTGATCGATTCATGGTTTCAAAAAATGTGTAATTTAATTAACAATTAAACAAAGATGACGGACTATTTTTTTCCTTCTTAACAATTCTGTGTATAAAATTCTAGTGAAAAATCGTGACTAATGGAGTTCAAACCTGTTTCGGTGTGAAGCAATGCTCATTGAAGACAGTGAATACGGTTGCACAACATCGTCATGGATTGATCAAAGTTATACATTAAACACCGTCACAAACCGGCTCAGTGATAGGAGAGAGTCTAGGCATTCACATGCAAGAACGAAGGTCCTGAGAGTGGTAGAAGTTGTGAATGCACACAGCTGACGAGTAGTCAGTCTCATACTAAGACTAAACAGCCTCCCAGTGCTTTCATGTTTCTAACAGTGTAAGTAGGTCAATAATCTCCACAACCTTATCATGCAACACTTAGATGAGATAAAAGGCGAGATTTCGAACACATATTCGTTCAAGAAGAAACAATTGCCTCAAAAATAAAAGATTTCACATGTTGAGCCCATATGTCTTGTGGTCCTAGATTTTCAACAAACTAATTAACTTTTTATCTGTTCGAGTAATAGTTCACTCATCTTTCGATCGTGTCTGTAATTCGCTTATTAACCTTGGTTATTTTTATTCTAGTACGTATGTCAGCACTGCTTACTTTGCTTATGAATCGATCAATATAAGACTACCATTAGATACCTGGTTCAGAGGTTAGGCGTTCGCGCGAAAGACCTAGAGTCCTGGGTTCGAATCCTGCGAGGTGCAGGAGTCGTGAATGTGCACTGCCACTGATGAGTTCCCATACTAGGATCAAACAGCTGTCTAGTGCTTCCATGTTTCTGATAGTAGTCTATAACATTGATTGATTCATGATTTCAATAAGGTGTAACTTAACAATCTTCACAACCGCATAATATAAACAGTTAGTCATTTTGTCAGTACAGTGATGAGTTGGCGCATTCGCCTTCTCCGTCTCAACTTCCCCCGCTTTTCATTATCATGTATGTCTCAGTGAAAAAATTTCCGAAAACGGGCATAGTATACAGAAATGGAATGGAAGATTTATTCTACGGTATATTTACTGGGTTGCATCGGCACCTGAACTAGTGATAAGGAGTGAAGCCGTTGAGCGTGTCGACCGCTTCACTTATCTGAGGAGTCTCATCAGTACCGATGGCCTGGTAACTGACGAAATCTCAGCACGGATACAGAAAGCTCGACTGGCTTTTGCCAAACTGCGTCACTTATGGAGTAGGTGAGATATCCGTTCGCTTACCAAAGGACGGGTGTACTGCGCAGTAGTTTGCTCCGTTCTACTATATGGCCGTGAAACATGGCCGTTAAGAGTAGAGGACATTCGTAGGTTATTAGTCTTCGATCATCGGTGTCTCCTAGGCATTGCTCGTATATCCTGGGACAACGGAGTAAGCAATGCTGTTATTAGGAAACGAGTACTAGGTAAGGATGGCAGATCAGTAGATGAAGTGCTGAAACTTCATCAGTTGAGTTGGTTGGAAAATGTGTTACAAATGGCTAACCACTGAGTGCCTAGACGAGCTATGTTTTGTGGTGTAGGAGTGGTTGGTTGGAAGAAAGTTAGGGGCGGCCAGACCAAAACATGGCAGAAATCCATGAAGTCACTGACAAGTGGACTACGTCATGTTGGTAG